TGAAGGTGACTATGATCTGCAAAGGCTTTACCACAGTGATTGCATTCATAGGGTTTCTCTCCAGTATGTGTTCTTTCATGCCTTTGAAGATGACTATGATCTGAAAAGGCTTTTCTACAATGATTGCATTCATATGGTTTTTCTCCAGTATGTGTTCTTTCATGACTTTGAAATTTACTGTGAGTTACAAAGGCTTTACCGCATTGATTACATTTATATGGTTTCTCTCCAGTATGTGTTCTTTCATGCCTTTGAAGGTGACTGTGATTTGCAAAGGCTTTACCACATTGATTGCATTCATATGTTTTCTCTCCAAAGAGTGTTCTTGTATGCCTTTGAAGATGTCTGTGATGTGAAAAGGATTTACCACACTCTTTACATTCATACTGTTTCTCTCCAGTGTGTGTTCTTTCATGCGTTTGAAGGCCACTGTTTTGAGCAAAGTCTTTACCAAACTGATTACATTCATGCAGTTTCTCTCCAGTATCTGTACTTTCAAGCATTTGAAAAGTACTGTGTTGTACAAAGGATTTCCCACACTGATTATGTTCATAGAGTTTCTCTTTAGTATGTCTTCTTTTTTGCAAATGAAGAGAACTATGATGAGGAAAGGCTTTACCATATTGATTACATTCATATGGTTTCTCTCCAGTTTGACTTCTTTCAGCCCTGCAAAGATAATTTGAAAATGTAACAGCTGTACCACATTCATTACACTTTTACACCTTTATTTCTGTGTGAATTAATTTTTCATTTCAGTGAAAAGGAAAGAGAAATTGGATATGTTTTTATCACTTTGCTTATACGTATATTGTTCCCCTTCATTAAGGATTATTTTGCACTTTTGAAGATACCTATGATGTTTAGAACCTTCATTACATGGATCACATATATGGAATGATTTTTTCAATGAGATTTTTTATATATATGAAAAGAATTGGAAAAATTCAGACCTTTATCCCACTTAATTCCATTAATACCTTTTTCTATACCATGAATGCTACTACATTTGCTCAATGAACCAGGACAGACAGAAGTTTTACACATTCCCACTACTCATAGGACTTTTCTTCAGTTTGTTTGCAGATGTATTCCCAGTTAAGCTGGAAAACCAATTATGTATAAACTTGAATCACATTAAGCAAGTCTACTCAATATGAGACTAGTACATAACTTATAATTGTTTTGAGATGAAGAGGGATACATTGCTTTTTTCTATATTGCTATGTTCATAAGAATTATACCACGTGTGACATATGCTATACTTAGTAAATGAAGAATAACAAATAAAGTTTCTGAGCTGGGCGGTGGTGGCGCACGCCTTTAATCCCAACACTCGGGAGGCAGAGCCAGGCGGATCTCTGTGAGTTTGAGGCCAGCCTGGGCTACCAAGTGAGTTCCAGGAAAGGCACAAAGCTACACAGAGAAACCCTGCCTTGAAAAACCAAAAAAATAAACCACACAAATAAAGTTTCTACATTGTCTCTACACAGCTTGACTTTTTGTTCCTCATAGCCATGTGATATAGGTTTTAAGGCTTCTTTACAAAAATCCCCCCCTTAATTCTTGACTCTTATGGCTCATCTCACTAAACTTAGCAGTGTCAGAAAAACTAGAGAGTAACACTAGCTTTAATATGGAATATTTGTTTATTAGAAGGATTTGGACATACACTTATCACATATTTAATATGTATACCTTTGGTAATAAGAGTCATATGAAACTAACTGGGTGGGCAATTCTACAGCATAGCTCTGACAGAACTATGATTCAAATGATAATATCTATTAAGGTATTGATTCTTTTCCTTCCTTCTAAAATGAATAACCTGCCAACACAATTCATTTACCTGCCTTTGATGTATATGGATTGTGAGCATTTAAAGATCATGAATGTAATTTAAGCTATGATTATTTACACTGTTGCATTTCTTTAAAACTTTCAAATACATTAAAATATATCCAGAGGCAGCTTTGTATCAGCTTGTACATAAAAATTACCTTTCATGTCTTTGAGAGCTTTGACAATGTTCTTCAACGTCAAGATTTTCCCAATTGTATCCTAAAATATAGAATGAGGAAATGTATAAAATATTACAGGAAATTGTGCAAAATTTGTTTTACTATCTTCAGTTATCCTTAGAATCTTTCCTGATTTAGTTACCTCATTCTGCCTCATTCTCAATCAGAATTACAGAAGATTATCAATAATCAAAAAACAATTGTTGCCTTAAATTAAAATATGAATGAAAATTTACCTATAGCAGTGAAGTTCATATATGTCTCCAGCATCATATCTTTGTAGATATTCTTCTGTGAAAGATCCAGCAATGCCCACTCCTCCTGAGTGAAGTTGATGTGCACGTCATTATAGGTCACGGCATCCTAAAACATGCTGTATATAAGTATGCTATACATATGTATAAAACAAAAGGCATGGCCAGTGGTGGTGCATACCTTTAATTGGGAGGCAGAACCAGGCAGATTTCTGTGAGTTTGGGGCCAACCTGGGCTACCAAGTGAGTTCCAGGAAAGGTGCAAAGCTACACAGAGAAACCCTGTCTCAAAAAAAAAAAAAAAAAAAAAAAAAAACACAACAATAAAAGCATGATGCCAACATTATAAATGCATGCTTCTTGACAATACAGTCATATAATTATGATGTTTCCCACCCTTATTCTTTAACTCAGACATTACAATATAATCATCTATTTATTTTAGAATGAAACAGAATTGCCAATTAACATAGAGACAAGCAAACACATCAACAGCACTGATACACATCAAAGAAATTGTATGAATAATTAATTACTAACTACAGACATACAGGCCTGGCGGCGGTCAGCAGAGGTAGACGGGCCTGGCGGCGGCAGCCAACAGGGACATACAGGCCCAGCGGCAGCCGGCAGAAACATACAGGCCCGGTGGCGGCCAGCAGGGGTCAACAGGCCCAGCGGCACAGCTGACAGGGACATACAGGCCCAGTTGCAGCCCACAGAAGAAGCCGGGCCTGGCAGCAGTGCCAAGCAGGGTCAGGTAGGCCCGTGGCAGCAGCCAGCACAGACATACAGGCCTGGCAGTGGCCGGCAGGGACATATAGGACCAGCGGTGGCCCGCAAAGGTAGATGGGCCTGGCGGTGGCCAACAAGGACATACAGGCATAGCGGCAGCCCACAGAGCTAGAAGGGCCTGGTGGCAGTGGCCGACAAAGACATAAAGGACCGGCGGCAGCTGGCAGAGACATACAGGCCCAGCGGTGGACCGCAGAGGTAGACAGGCCCGGTGGCGGCGGCCCACAGGTACATACAGCCCGGCAGCAGCCAGCAGAGACATACAGGCCTTGCGGTGGCCTACAGAAGTAGACGGGCCGGTGGCGGGAGCAGCCCGGCGGCAGCCTGCAGAGGTAGACTGTTGCTGGAGGGCTTCTCTCCAGGTTCCCCAAGCCCCGCAGTCCCACAATCCACTTATAAAATAATCACTCAGATGCTTATATTACTTAAACTGTATGGCCATGGCAGGCTTCTTGCTAACTGTTCTTATATCTTAAATTAATCCATTTTTATAAATCTATACCTTGCCACGTGGCTGGTTGGCTTACCGGCGTCTTTACATGCAGCTTGTCCTGGCGGTGGCTGCAGTGTCTCACCCCTTCTTCCTGTTTCCCCAATTCTCCTCTCTCCTTGTCCTGCCTATACTTCCTGCCTGGTCACTGGCCATCAGTGTTTTATTTATATAGAATGATATCCACAGCACTTCACCTTTTCATCTTTTTTAAAAAGGAAGGTTTTAACTTTAACATGGTAAAAGTACATATAACAAAACAATTATCAAGCAAGAATTACAGTTACAATATTAAAGAAGATGCCCTATCTATCTTATATTTGTGAGTTTAAGGTTTTATATCTAACTTATCTTTTATCATAACTGAGCAAATTACAGGCCCAGGGGTGGCCCGCAGAGGTACACGGGCCTGGTGGCGGCGGCCAACAGGGACATACAGGACCGGCGGCAACCGGCAGAGACATACAGGCCAGACAGTGGCCCAAAGATGTAGAGTGGCCTGGCAGAGGCAGGCAGGCCTGGAGTGGAGGCAGGCAGGAACAGCAGATGATGGCCGAAATACAGTCACAATAAAGACTAGAAACAGAGCTATTACCCTCTGAAGAGCTAGTGAAAACAAACTCTTAATCAAAAGCTTGGAACAGGGATGCCTCTAACCCCAACACCCGGAGAAGAAGCTATCTCCATGGGATGGAACCAGAACGAATCTGAACACTTCATCTGAGGACAACCCAGGGCCCAGCTGCTGACCCTGCAAAACCCAACAACTTGGAGGTGTTGGTGAGACTACACCGCTCAGCTGAAATCCATCCAGGAGAGGATTCAGATCCCTACAGTTTGAAGTCTGAAGAAACAAGATCAGCTAAGGAGTTGATGAATGAACAAAATGTGACCTGGGAACACAGAAGAAGGCGCTGCCCAGTGACCAAACCAGATCACCAGAATCATAAGTATATACTTCACTGACTGAGATCAGCTGCCCCTGAAGAAACAGCCCAATAGCACCAATTTAACCAAGAACTCCTACTGAACCAAGACTAAAAATTAGAACAAGGGAAGCACTCTCAGACACACACATCACCTGCACTGAGCAGAAGAAGAGATGAGTAGACACCAGTGCAAAAATACAGGCAACAACATAAAGACCTATATGGCAACATCAGAACCTAGTGTTTCTATACCAGCAAGAACTGAACATACCAAGACAGAAGAAACAGAAGAAATCAACCCTAAAATGACTTTAAGAAGATGATAGAGGCCCTGAAAGAAGAAATAAAATATACCCTTAAAGAGGAAATAAAAAATTCCCTTAAAGAGGAAATGAAAAACTCCATTAAAGAGGAAATAAAAAACTCCCTTAAAGAAATGGAAGAAAAAAGGAACAAAAAATGGGACGAAATCAAAGAAAGCCAAGAAAAAGCAATTAAACAGATGAAAGAAACATTCCAAGATCTGAAAAATGAATTTGAGACAATAAAGAAAACACATGCTAAGGGAATGTTGGAAATAGAAATCCTGACTAAACGAACAGGAACCACAGAAACAAGCATAACCAACCGATTGCAAGAGATGGAACAGAGAATCTCTGGCACTGAAGACACAATAGAGAAAATATATTAATCAGTCAAAGAAAACACTAAAGACAAAAAAAGTCGTAACATAAAACATCCAGGAAATTTGGGACACCATGAAAAGACCAAACCTAAGAATAATAGGGATAGAAGAAGGAGAAGAATACCAACTCAAAGGCACAGAAAATATATTCAACAAAATCATAGAAGAAAACTTTCCTAAC